GCGCGCCCACGGAACAATTCCCCGACCTTCTTATCCACCTCCTCCTCGAGGACCATGCAGAACCAATCACACATGTTTTGCCGCGCGAGTGCTTCGTTGAGCCCCGGCGGCAGGAAGGAGAAGCGTTCAAGCTGTTTGGGCGGGTCGGTCTTTAGATCTTCGGTCGACCAGACTTGCCAGACTTTGAATGGCACGGAGTTGGTTTTATACGCCCGTGCGTATGCGGCTGAGACTCGTGGGGCGGCGTCAGCGGCTGCGTCGAAACAACGTAGGTAAACGTGCAGGACCTCTTCCAGGGACAGAGGTGGTGCGGTGGTGGTGGGATTGACCGGTGTCATGATGGAGATGTGAGCAGGAGGACGGCTTCTGCTCGAGTGTTTTGGTGTCCTGGAGGCTGTGAGGGTACGGAGGGGCAGCCACAATTTGTCCTTGGATTTTAGCGCTAAAGGTACGTCGGTGCATCCCTGTCAGTTCTGGAGCACATTCACTGACGATTTACGATTACCAAGATGCACGAGAACTTTACTGTAATATGTACTGTAACCAGGTTGTCGGCGGATCGAGGACAGTGTAAGGAAGGCTCATCTAATCCAACTGCGCTTCCTCGAATACCGCCTCAAACTTGGCCATGCTCAGGGAACGGATACGTTCCTCCACATCGTCGTCCGACAGCCCACGGAGAGATGCCCAGTTCAGCTCCTGGAATATCTGCTCCATACGCCTGCGCGCGACTACCCAGTATCCGACCGCCCAGTATCCGTGGTTGCAATCCTTTCCCTCAAGCCTCTCGCACTTGGCGACCTCCCCCTGTTCGTCCGTCGTCCAAATGTCCCTCGGGTCCGAGTACTTGGGATCCAGAAAGTTTGCAACAAGCTCCTCCCGTGCCATGAACCAATGTGTCTTCCAGTCTCGTCCATATTGATCGGCAGTGCCATCGAAGACATAGTTCCCATCGTTACCATCGGATATCAATAGACAAGAGTGGGATATCAATTCATGCATCTCTGCCCAATCTGTGAGTATGCGGAAATGCGGTTTGGCTATGAAATTGATCCAAGTAACCGTGTGGCCGATGCCGAGAAGCTCTGCTCGCTGTCAGTTACTGTTCAAGCGCGCATACTGTCCAACGGGCCTTGTTCCTTACCACAGAGGTGCCGGGTTACGAAAGGCTTCATCATGACGCAGAATGTCTCGCAATAGTGCTTGAAGATCACTGCGCGATATTCACTCCCTGGGCTCAGTCGTGATGTATCCGGGCGCCCAAATTCCGATCGATCGTAGTCGAAGAGCGCTTCCGGAACACCAGGTCGTGACGTTCGGTTTAGCCATGATATCCTGATTCCGAAGACATGGCAGCCAAATAGCGCCTCTTGGAATATGATAAGATGCACAAGAAGGATCTGGCGAAGAGAATGGGCTGGAAGGGTAGCTGCGACGCGCACGCCGGCTTGAGGAGACTCAGTGGCCATGATTGTGGGGGGAAAGTATCGGATTGGTAGCAGAAGATGGAGAGGGTAGTGAGAATTGCCTTCACATCTGCTCCCGGTGTGGGCGTCCGAGTGCCACAACTAGCGCACAAACGGGGACGCGCATAATCCCAGAGTAGCCTGTCGACTTACAACTTTGACCAGACTTTCGGACTGACCCGCCATCTTTCGAAAGTTCAATCAAATCCTCTCTCCACAAACAACATGGCGGCCATCGTCACTCAGAAGCAGGTCTTGGAGACAATACTGACTGGCTGCGCCAACCACTACGGCGGAGACCCAATGGCGAAGCTCAAGTAAGTTCAACAGAAGCTCAAATCATCAATGAACCAGCTAACACACAAATCCAGGTCTCTGCCAGAGAACTACTACACGAAGACGAAGACATTGGCGGCGGATAAAGAATGGCCCACCGCTCTTGCAGCCATCGAGGAGGCATGTCGGATCAAGCCAAAGGGCGAGCATCCACTCTGTCGCATTCGCATCAGAGCAGCTCCCCACACGAAGAAGGGCAGCGGAACCTATGTCTCGAGCGTGGCCGCCTGCATGCACGACTATCCCTTCAACGAAGCCAACAAGGCTGATGCGAGCGCCGACGCGGACATGCTCTTGACCGGGCCCGCCACGGAGATCTCATTCAGGTACTTCTACTTGCACCGCTGGACGCTCATCAACGCGCCACATCTGTTCGAAGACGACAGCCCCCTTCTCCTCCTTGCCCTGGTCTTCCAGAAGGCAGGCACTGTGGAGACGCTCCTGGCCGTTGCTGGCGCCGAGGTCACCGAGAAGGAAATGGACGATACGATAGCGCGCAGCATAAGACTGTACCAGCAGGGGTCTGGAATACTTGGATGGGCTCAGGCGTTCGAAGATCTTCGTGAGGCCATGAGGGGCAGGTGGCACTCCAACAGCGTGGCAGACTATAAGGGCTATGGCAAGCCTGGCTCATACATGCATGCCGCCCGCCAGAAGAAGACTCCGGTATGAAGGCCCAGGGAGGCTATGTTTGTACGCGAGTTGTCTGGATCTGGAAAACAACGAACTGACAAAACGCAGGCGCCTCATCCCTTTTGACTGAAGGTTCACCGCGCGGACAACATGACTGCTATACCTCTTACTCGGCCATCGTCTTCATCTATCTCTCATGGCTCGTCTTCGTCGTCGCTCAGTCTTTTGTTCTCTACTCACGCCTCGGCCTCGTGTGGAGAAACACGAAGAAAGATCGCTACATTCTCTACATGATCACTACTAACTCGGTCATCTTTGGCCGAGAGCCACGCCTACCTTCCGATCGCGACTTCCCATAACACCCTCATCGATGCGAAGGATATGGAACAATAGCCAGAGCGACACTTCGAAGGAAGCCAAGTAGGAAGGAGGCCGGCGTGTAGGGCAAGGGGCAGTTAGACCAGCGCAAGGAGATCAGCCTGCGCGCTGTCTCCGGTAGTAGAAGTAGCAGCATACAATCGCTCAGCAGATCAATCCAGCACAGTACATATCATGATGTCTCCTCCAAGCTCGTGATGATGATTGACGACGTGAATGTTACACAACGTCACCAGCATCAAGCTGCGCGACAGGCTGGCAGACTGAGCATTTCTCTAGATGCCGTGAGACCACTGGGTCAGATCTGCCGGAAAATTGGCACGGGTATAAATCGTGTTTGTGATTTCAACATGCCGCAAGGACAGAGATTGCAGCTGAAACCCGGCCTCATGGAGTGACGTGATGTGAACATCAAGGCTGGCGCATAAACTCGTGGAGCTGACTAGACCATATTACGGCACCTGGAGCATATACTGTAGACGCGGAGATCGCTCAGAGCATGCTTAAGCGCGGGAAAGGCTCATTGATGAAGTCAAAGCCATCGTCAGGTCAAAAAGCGCTGACAAGCTGGAAGCCATCCTCAGTGACGCGTCAAACACCAGTAGCCGGTGTCACGACCATCGCAGCCTCATCAAAACAAGTCACGGGGCTTACCAAGCGCGTGGGGGACTCAGAAGGGGCACGAGCTCAATGTTTGTGCCCGCTCCGGCCAGTCCTTCACCCCCACGAGACTGGCCATGAAATCTTCCTGCCCCACTATACCCGCAGATACCACTTGACCATATAATACATCTAATGGATCTACATTTCACCATCCGGGGCAAGGATGTGTACTTTGTACCGTAGTTAGGCCCACCATCACTAGGATGGTGCAGGTAGATAGTTGCTGTTTACTCTTGAGAACCCCGCTAACATATCCAGGTCTTCCACACGACAGTGTCCAGGCACTATAAAGTTATGAATACAGGTTTTTTTGCTAATTCGATTCTCTTGAGTAGCAAACTGGTGAAGACAAACTGTTCTTTTTGGTTCTGTGTTTTCCTGGACCAAGTGCGGCGGGGGTGCGGAGATTGGCTAGGTGACAGTGCGGAGAATGACGCGTTCCCCATCACAACATTGGCTAGATCTACTTGTATACCACCCAAGAGAGCACCTGCAAGTTCTATCGGGACTTTCAGGCAGTCTCATGGTGTTTGTCTAAGTCCTATACCAACGTTTTTGCTCGCTGACACCATCTCCCGAGGTTGTACTTCACTGCCTTTGCTGCGCATCACTCCGCGTCTGCTCAATCAGAGCGCTTACGAGATGCCCTCTACTCTATTCTTACAACGGTATCTGTGACCTGCAGCATCTCCCCTACATTCATCCGTCCTGCTGCTGTAAAGCGCCGACAAAGAGCTCCCAGCTGTTCGCTGGCGATAGTAATCGGCATTAACCAGATGTGATCGCGACGAGCGCGTTGTGTCTTTTCAGCGTCGACCTTTGCTTCATTTACATTCCTAGAATGCAGACTATCTGCTACAGCAGTGCTAGCTTTGTGACGCGACATAGCCCAGCGGACATCTTGCAGCTCCTGCCCTGAACTGCCTTCCCTTTTGGGCTCGCATAATGATTCCCTTCGCAACGAGACTTGTTTGAGCAGTATGAGAGCATCGTATCAGTACTGCGAGCCGAGGAGAGTGTTGGCTGTCAGCACTGTCTCCTTCTGCGCATGCACGAAGGCAGGCACGGAGCAACGTAAAGATATAAATGTAGGCAGCGCTGTATCTGCGCTCCTGGACTGCACCATCATGTAACTATTGAGCTGGCGATGCTCTTTGATAGCGCTTTTGACCTCCTCAAAGCCTGCACGTTCGACTATTCAGATGAACGCTTACGGCGCCCCTGAAGTGACTCCTGAAGTGAAGTCTCCATTCATGTGCTATCAATATTGGACCAGGATGCAGTAATGCGAGCGCAGAGATAGTCGTTGGTGCGTTTGTCAGTCCGGCGGAGGAGCGTCGGGGGGCTAGCGCGAGACCAAAACACCAGGCTCGATATCTCTGCTTCACCACTGACGAGCGCCGCCCACCCCGCCCTCACCCTGTCTTCAAAACTCCTCTCCTTCTCGAGCTCCTCATCTCCAAAAGCCTCCTCATCAATACCTTCCCCGTCGTACCCGCACGCGACAAGCAAATCCAAGCCAACATGAACATCCAGCAAGCGCGGCAGCCAGACCCGAGCTTCGCTCGTACAACAGCGCTCATGGTCAACATATTCTCCATGACCACAGAAGCGGTCGATCAGCGCAAGCTTCTGAGCGCGAGGGAAGTGGGCGGTCAGCTACATCTGCGCTTCCGCCTCAAATGGGATATCAGTCCCGGAATTCTCGCTCGAGAGCGAAGGTCCGTGACAGACGAGAGCTTCAAAGCATTCAAGTCGCACAACTACTGCGTCTTTGCGTGCAAGCTCCTAGCGGGTCTTTTGGCTTGGCTAGTCGAGGGTGAGTAGTTTTTCGATTGTTTACAAGAGATTCTCACCGCTAACAAACTATGACGTAGAACTACGCCTTCCAATCGATTTCGAAGAGGTGGAGATACACGGGGTCTACGAGATCAAACCCGTCGTCTGCATCGAGAGCTCGACCGGCAGGAGAAGGCGGATCGCCCAAAAACACACGGTGTTCAAAATCACCTCCCCCAACGACGACGGAGAGGGCGCCTACATCGACCCCTCAGCGCCCCAGTACCTACGACCCGCGGGCGTATACCCCGTCAGAGGATACCCTGCATACCCGGACGAGGAAGTGAAAGTACCGATAGAGTTCTTCTCCTTGGGATACAATTACTCCCAACACCTCATCAGGGGCGGCAATGATGACAAGTGGGGTGCTCTGGAGCATGACATCCTGAGCTCCGTCAAGGCGGATCTCGACGTCCTGGTGAACTACCTCGACAACAAGTACATCCCAGGCAATCTCAACAGGAACACACACTGGAAAGCCCTGGCTAAATCATGTATGGGCACCGGTCATGCGAAGGTCATGGAGTCTTTGGAGCGAGCGTCGGGACTCGAGGTGACGAGGCATCAACTTTCTTAGGTAGCTTCTTTGCGCGCGGGCAAAGACCAATTAAATCATTACACCGCAACTCATTAACCCGTGCTTCCAATCATCATCGATGGACTCTACAAGCTCATCTGAGTCCAAGTATCCTCCAAAAACTTTTGCGTGATTCCAGCTACGCGATGTTGGGATGTCTCCCTGGTTGACTTTCAGCCTTGGCGTACCCGACGATTGAACATACGCACGCCCAGAACAGCGGTTCTCGTATACTATTCACGCAGTAAACTGATATCATCTAGATGCCACAGCTTCTGAGGCTGACGATGAGCTTCCGCAGCATGAAACCCGGCATGTATTGTCCTCTGCAGAGTACAAATTGCCTACGTACAAGCCGGCAAGCAACTGATAGGACAGCTAGCCAAGGACTATGTGTCTTCTCTATCCCCAACAAGCTTTAGCAGCATCCCGGGCCCTTTGCGTCGCTTCCCCACGTACGTAGTCTTCTCGATCGCCAGTCGCCATGCCCTCCAACTTAGCCCAGTTGAGGCTCTGCAGCATCTCGCGCAAGCTGATCCCAATTTTGTGCCAATATCCCTGGCAAAACTCTTTGTGGTCTTCCAGACTCATATCTCTGTGGTACAAGTCGAGTTTGTATTGCCCATCACGGGTGTAATGAGGCCAAAATTTGTCGCCGCTTATAATCGCGATCGTCGCTGGCCACCCGAATTGCTCTGCTGTGCCATCAAAGATGATCTCGGATTCGTCTTGCTTGCGGATGACAAGGATAGAATGGCGCATCGAGGTCTCTTCGTTGCGGATGTGGAGGACTTGGGTCGGCCTTGGATTCTCGAGTACGGCATAATCGACGTTGACGTCGTATGCTGTAGGAATGAGGTTAATTACTAGGGCCCGGCGTCGAAGCTACGATCAGGAAGTTTACAGTGTAGTCGCATCTCGACCTCGTCGTAGAAGATCGTGCAGAAGGTGTCGCACAGATTCAGCTTCTTGTAAGAGATCTCGAGCGCTTCTGAGGTCCCTACGGGCACTTGACCGTGGCTCTGGCGATCGAGTGTCACCCGTATATGGTTGTTGCCAAGGTCGCTGACGCCGAAAGAAGTGACAGAGATTGGGCGAAATGCGGCCACGGCGGCGTTGAATGCGATGAGGAAGACTTTAAGAACCTCCTCGATCGTGAGTCTGGCTGTTGAAGGTGCGCTGGGGGAGGACATTGTCGGCGTTGTTCAGGGATCGGTTCTGTGCGGACAAGTCGTCGGCGGTGACAGTGACTGGAGTGAGAAAGTGAGACAGTTGGACCCTTCTTTTCGCTCCGCTCGTGCACCGTCTCCTCTGAACGACATTTTGGACACAAACCCCGCTATCCCCTTCCCAAATCGCGCGATATCTCTCACCTCCGCGACACCCATAACACCTTCCGGCCGCCGTCAAACTATGCGCTCTCGCACACTCGAAACGGACCCCGAACCGCAGGACGCAATGGCAGACCATCCAGGGGTTCCTGTATTCTTCGAAGATGGCAGATACCGCAGCGTCCGCACTCACGTTCAGGAGAGGGCGGACAGGGATCTGTATCGCGTCGACCGCATCGTCAACCGCCTGTTTCTCGAATTCAGCGACGCGACGAACCGCTTGTCGGTCATGTATGAGGTTGCCGACGAGAGCGGAAGTTCACTTTGCATAGGAGTGCGCAATATCGAAGGCCATCCAGGCGAGGTATCAGTACTGGAGAACCAATCCTTTTCCCTCAAGGCAAGACATGCCTACCTGTCACACAACAAGTGTGTCCTTGTTCTGGAGGCATTTGCCCCGACAGTGGCTTTCTTCACCGAAGGTTTGTGTCCGCCATTACATCCAGCGCGATCCAAACTAAGGCTAACCTCTTCAGGTCTTACCCCCTCGATGGAAGTACACGAAGCCCATATCGATCACGTCGAGCCCGACCAAGAGGTAGAGGTCGCCTACTGGCAGGAGGAAGGCTCGGGACCGGCTATGCTCAGACTACCCGTCGCCGCTTGGCACTCTATGTTCAGGATCACACCGACCGACGAACACAACCTCTGTCGCCCCGAGAATCCCGCCCGATTGAACGGTACCGGAACGTACCTTGACCCCACAGCGGCTCAGTACGGTCGTGACCAGGGGCTCAGGGACGCAGGTGTCTATCATACCCTTAGCCCGGAATCCAAGACACTATCCTTCACGAGCCTCGGCTACCATTACTACGAATGCCAATCGGAGGAGGAGAAGGATGTTGGACGTACACCCATTCGCGCTCTAGAAATGGAGGCATACATTCGAACAATGGACAACGCTATACACAAGGTCGTCGAGGATGTCGGTGGCCGCGCAGAGCTCTTCGACATGTCGCCTACAAACTTTGAAGCCATATTGGAGTCAATGGCCGCTCAAGCTCGGTCAGACCTTCTCGATGTTGCTGAAGAGTTATATTTCCTTGACTATATCCCGCCTGTAGGCACAGAAGAGGGAGGCTCTGGAGATACCAACAGGTATCAGGCGGTGGCTGATCGATGCATGGGCGCAGGCCACAGAGAGTTCCTGCGAGCCTTGAGAGATCGAGTTCCTCGTTCGTGGAAGTGTGAGGACGACTTCTCAGTTTGTGTTGACGTGGTCGAAGGCAAGGACAGCGAAGGATGACGGCCTGCAGCCGCAGCCGGTGAAATGGCTCAGTCGAAATATGTGAGGGCATAACAATGATCCCAATTTCCTGAAACCTGCATCTTTTCATGCAATAGTCTCAATCGTGATGTCTTTTAATCGCAATCGTCGAGCCTCTCTCCGCTGTGTTGAGGTTTGGTGAAGTCGCCTTAGCGTGGTACTAACGCCACATCGGTCAATTTCGCCCCACCAAGATGTCGTGAGATCGCAACTTCCAGACATCATGTATGAATTGCACAGTCCTGTATCGGCAGGGCTTGTCGCGCAATGCAGGCCGATGCATCTAGAAAATGACACTCTCGTGGAGTATCGCAGCTGCAAGGGGACATTAAGCCCTCGCCCGACCCCAGCGGTTCGAAGTCAGCAAGTCCTTCGAACGGCCTGCCTTCTCGTGATGTACACAGCATGCTCCTCTTCATCTATCGCCAGCTGCCGATATTACTATAGTTTCCAGGGGCGTCATCGAATATAGCTGCTCGACTGCCTCACGTTTTGTCTATAGCATGCGGCACGTCTTCTGTGCCCCTGGTGGTGCCAACAACCTTAAGAGTCTTCTCGCTGCCGTTCTGCAAGACTCTTCGTGCCGCATGCTTACTATGTCTCTGTCGAGAATCTCTGATACTAGATCTAGAATACCCCAAATCGCTCATGTGCTATTAAGCTATGGTATTAGGCGGCACGGCACGTGCATAGTAATGCAGCCAGTCGCGCTCAATTAGCCCCCGCGAGCAAAAAAACAAGAAACCCGACTTGATGTCGAGCATGCGCGGATTCGAACGCGGGAGCAAAGAGTTCGGTACCCCCAATTGGGGGCACCTACATCTCTCCTAGATTCACGAGTTAGTGGAATAACGACGAATATTTGCAAATATATAGCCAGCGAGGCCGGGAGAGGCATGTTCAACATAATTCGCTGACACGAATTCGTGGAGTCCCGTTTACGGGCGCTTCCAGGAACAAAAATGAGGTGAACCGCAATGCCCGCAAAGCCAGTGCCACGCGGTGAAAACATTCTTCTGCGCCCAACAGAAACCGCGGAGCCGAGGTGAAGGTGCGGGCAAAAAGCGAGCCCTTTGACTTATTGTTTGCCTCTGGGAAGAGTCGAACGCGGGAGCAAAAAAAAACAAGATATGGATACGAAAACAGCAAAAGGTTCGGTGCCCGCGGCACCTACATCCTTTCCTATGACCACTAGTTAGTGAAATAACGACGATTTACTTTCTTTATATATCCAACGGACCTTGGTTGGTTTGTGTGCCTTGGAAATTTTGGATTTGCGGCTTCACTGGGCGATTGGGCGGGCGCAGGACATCGCGCTCCTTCACCCAGCAACGTCTAATGCGAGTCGATTGTTCGACTTTCGTTCTCCATCAACCGACGAGAAGGTCGTGTTACTGGTGTTGGCTAGTCATCTTCCAACCCCTGACTGAGCGTAGGATAACACATTCAAGGGCATTTGCGAGGCTTGTACATAGCCCCATTCGTTTGTGCAATATGTACGAACAAGAGACTGATCAGTACTTATGATCGTGTGCTTTTCGTGGGTTCCTTTGACTTCATGCAGATGGCATGTGATCGGCTGCAATCTCTGGACTTTGCAGTGCCATCCACGAGCTTCTGCACCATCAACGGCACGACTATGCGAATAGTACTCAATGACACCGCCGAGCGACATGCGTCATAGTGCAGCTTGTATAGCATGGCCGCAGACATGCGTCCATCCTCAATGAATGAACCCAGACTCTGGGGTAAACAGCAGCCAACGAGACTGGTGCTGCCAGATAATGACATCAGAACTCTGTGCTGGAAAGGAAGCAGATTGAACAGGAGATCATGATCACACGTGCATATCTCAAGCGTGACGTGCTCTAGTGACCGCAGCCTTCTCGACTAAGCGGCACATGCGGTCGGTGCAATCTTTGCTTGCGGGCTGAGTGCAGCCTTGTCAACGTGTTACGGATGTCGACTTGGCCAGCCACGATTATTGATGCGTTGCGGTCATCATCCAGTCTCAGACAAGGGATAGCCTTTAGCAAGCGCACTGAGACGTCCCCCGATGTAGACTTTGTTATGATTCCAGCTGTGCTGCAGTACCAAGCGTCCCTGTGACTAGCGAGATCAGGAGGCATAGGCGCTGTGCGCAGTCGGCCGATTTGATGTTCGCAACTTGAGGCGAGGGTGTTGGGGCCTCAGCTCTATGTCCGCAACTTCATTGACGACTCCGCCACCACCCCCGCGACCAACACCACGACGCAAACCACATCACCCCGAAACGACGAAATGAGCATCCGAATAACTTGCGGCGACGTCGTGATAAGTCTTGCAAAATCCAGGATAGCGGA